TTGATGGGAGCTCTCCTTGGCATCCCATGAGTACAGTTGTTTGATAGATGTAAACAAGTAAAACATCTGATTTAGTGAGTTGAGTTCATTCTTTTCTTAAACATTTTCTGTGGCCCCTGTTGTGGCATTAATGGTGCTTCCCCAAATGGCATCATTTAATATTAATTATGGAGCTTTGGTTACGAGTAGGAGAATGCACAGAGCAAGCCGCTAAACCCAAGGTCATATCTTACTGAAGTGCTGGGTTGCTGTCCATTAGACCCAATGACTGTGTGCTCTTTCTATAAGATCTTATAAATGGGAGGAGTTGTTTGGTTGTGATGTCAAGTGCCAATAGAATATGACAGTAAGGGACATGGGCTTTTGGGATTAGGCCAACATGTCCTCAATTTCTGTGTCAACCACTTACCAGCAGTATGAGCTTGAGGAGGCTACTTAACCTCGCTGAATCTCAGTTTCCTCATCTGGTTAATGGGATAATCAGACCTACCTCACAGGGTTATTGAAATCATTAAATGAGATGCCTGTGCCTGCCATGAAGGAAGCTTTCAAAACATGGCAGCTGCCACCACTATTATCTCCAGGAAGCAAAATGTCCTTATGGTTCCTAGATGGCACTAGGGGTAGTTTAAAAATTGTTATACCTTCTGTTTCTCATAGTACTCTCCTCCTCTTATCAGCTCTCTCTTTTAATTCAAAAATACAAAGATTTATTTGTTGGAAGGTAACTGAAGAACCAGCATGATCCAACGAGCAGCTACAGATGGTTCTTCTTGGGGACTGAAGGAAAAGCTCCTCAGAGATGCTGTGGAGTCGGCACTGCCACTGGACCGATCCTTCCCACTTCTCCTTGCCAGGCTGTTGCTGGCAGCGGGGCTCTCCGGAAGTTTCTAGCCTCAGGAGAGTGCCAACTGCACCACCATTGCATCCTTGCCCATTTATCACTCTGAGTTTCCTTTTTAGTAGTTGGTGATAGACTATTCGGCTTCTAACTTAGTCATCCATTTCCTTTTTTATTTCTGTTTCCATGGATAGGCAAAGAGGGATTATCCTCTTTTGGTAGGTTAAAATAGCACAATTAATTTTTTTCTAATCATTAATCATACCTTAAATTCATGCCGGTATTTCCTTTTCTGGCTTTGTGTGTTACCTTTACAGCTTCAAGTGTGCCATACAGTGGACTGTAAAGGGTGTTAATTGAGAAGCCAGGGTGCACAGTTGAGTAGGGAATGATCAATGGTTCCAGAGGCAAGGTGACACAGCTGCCTTTTTCTGGGGGAAAAATGTTCTGGGTAGCCTCAGAGCCTTAAAGTGGGTGTATGTCTCTCGGCTGCCTCTCTCCCTCTCACAGAGAGGTCCCTCTGGAGGCTTCTCCCAGTGAGCAGGGGAAGTGCGCATTTGAAATGGCACACTTATCTTGCAGTTGCAGGGGAAGCTTTTGTTTTATTTTTCTCTTGCTGCATTAAAGTATTTGTCTTTCTTTCTTTGTAGTGTAATATTGTTAATGTAAAACAATTTGCATCATGACACTTTTATCACAGTTTTCGTCTTTTTCTCAGTATGTTGCATTTCTCACCATGTCTAGTTCATCACAGCTACAGTGTGTACATCACAACATTTATCTTAGGCTCAGGGTTTTACTTGTTTATAAAAATTGTCTTCTTTCAGCCTGTATTCACTCCATTTAAGAAAAAAAAAGGCAGCCAGAAACTGTTTTGGTCCAAACTCCAGTAGTTATCACATTCCTTGCTAACTGTCCTGCGTATTTATATGTCTCCTAACTATTACTCTATGTTTCAATGACATTTCTCAGTTTCATGGCTCGGGGAGGTTGTAGGAGCAGCTTTTGCTTTTCAAGCTGCCAAGCAAGGCAGGCCGATGAGGCTTTTGGAGGTGAGGTGAGGTGGCACAGTTGTATATTTGGGTCAGGTCTGAGTGTTAAAGTTGACTGTCTTCTGCGAGCAAAGAGCTAAATTTAATTTGGAGAGAAACAAGGAGGCAGGAAGTCAGTGCAGGCTGAGAGCATGGCTAACGGAAAGGATCACCAAAGAGGACTCACACGAGGGCACCTGGACCTGCAATTCAGGCGATTAATGTTCACAGTCAGTACTCAAGCCTCAGCCTTTCTTGTCTCCAGCTTTGAATGCTGCACAAAACTGTCTTTTAGGGAGATTTATTTTGACCTATTCCTCTCTGAAGGACAGAGAATTGCTCAGAGTTCTATTGCCCCATTAGGCTATACGTCACTTGCGTAGTCACAGAATATGCCTCCCAAATCACCCAGGGCTGTGCAGAGCAATCTCTCTTCTGATTAGCGCAATCTGAGAAGGCATGGGGTCTTAGGAGGATCTCAAAGGATACCCACTATTATTGTGCACTTCAGATTCCAGGACTGTTAATTAACATTTTATTTCACACTGTTTCTTTGCCAGAAGGTCACATCATAAACAGCTTGGAATTTTAGTAGAGACACAGCGCAATGTAGGAAGTAAAAAGGACTTGCTGTCAGACTTTGTCCAGCTCTGACACTTGCTGTAGTTGTGACCTGGTGCAGGTTACTCACCTTCTGAGTCTCGGTGCCTCCATCTAGAAAGCAGAATTGGTCTAGACCTATTTTAAGTGAATATTGCAAGGATTAGATATAACAGTGCTTTTATAAACCCTTATTTATATGTGATGCTTAACACAGTGACAGGCACAGAGTAAATGCTCAATTGAGTGTTAGCTATTATCATGAATGGCATGGTGTATGGATTGAAAGTGGGCAAAACATATCTCAATACATTTCAGAATGAGCATATTTTATTCTGCCTACCACAGCTGATAACACTTGATTCTGCAAAACTAGGACCAAATATAGTGGACACTGCAAGTGCTTGATAATTTATTTCATTTACTCATTCAATTGATAAATATTTAGCATTCTCTTAGTTAAGAGTAATGCACAATATAGACAAATCTTTTTTCTTATGGATCTTATCATTTAGTGGAGTACATAATAAGTAAATATTGATTGACTAGATGAAAAATGAATGGAGGGATGAATGGTGATGTTGGGATGGATGGACCGATGGATTTATATTTAGATGTATTTATCTGAGACATCTTACCAGACAAAAAAGTTTCTCAAAAATAAAAGGAGTCTCACTCAGGTTTTTATTCTGAGAGTTCATGAGTAAAATTCTCAGTTTGGGTGAGAAATGGAATATGGTCAGAACAAGTAGGAACTAGCCTGCACAGAAGAGGAAGCGCATTTGTTTTAAGCCTACCAGGCCAGGATGACCTTGGGACATTCAGTCAACTGAAACATTTTGGGTGGCTCTGTCCTGAAAGTCAGAGATAAAATGTCTGTTTTCCAGAAACACTGTTAAAGAATTCTCACATCAGCATCAGAAATTTAACCCCCAAAAATGCTTTTGCCATGCCTCTTGGTTCCTATAATTGTGACAGAGTAAGAGGAGTTACAGGAGCCCACCCTTATTTAAGGTGAATACATTCCAAGACCCCCAGTGGATGCCAAAACTGTAGATAGTACCGAGCCCTCTATACATTATGGTTTTTTTCCTCTACATATATACATACCTATGATAAAGTTTATAAATTAGGCATTATAAGAGATTAACAATAGTTAATAATAAAATAGAACAATTATAATGATAAACTGTAATAAAAGTTAATTGAGTATAGTCTCTATTTCTCAAAATATCTTATTGTACTATACTGCAGGTAACTGAAACCATAGAAAGCAAAACTGCCAATAAGGGGGGACTACTCAATTCCAATTTTATTGAAATCAAAGCTCAAAGAGCAGCGTATCTCCAGTTGCATAGCTCACTGATATTGAAACTGGAACTTGAATACAAACACGGTTACTTTAGCCCCATTCCCTTCCTGCCAGGCCACCAAGGTTCCCATCAAAAATATAAGCTGATATGAGCTACAGAGATATCTGTGAAATATAAACCTTGGCTTTCATAAAGTTGAATTTGATTCACCAAGGTGCTGCAGGACCAGCTGGCTGCTTTTAAACCCATGGAGATGCTGCTGCCCCTTTCCTGCCCAATCCATAACAGGACCATCAAAGTGGACTCTAGCTCACCCCCTCCCAAAGGCACTACAGTATTTTGTGGCATTTTTACCTTCATCCCAACTTTGGTAAATATCCTCAAAATTGGATGACCAGCTCTAAATGCTTTCAATGGCTTTTTCATTCAAAACTCCTGACCCTCATTATAGGAGCCCTGGCTCAGGCCACATAGCAGTCTCAAAAAGCTGAGTTCCCAATTTTTTTTTAATCCTATTTCCTTGACTAATTTGGGTATGACTTGATCTAATAGTATCTCCTCTAATACACAGAATGAGGCAGACAACAACAACCCACTGATTTTCTAAGGCCATTTTTGATCTTTTTTACCCTCTTCCCCTCCCATATGTTACATTTGCCTAGGTTTTTAACATCTGTTCCCAAAGAGGTAATATTTGCTTTTCATTCAGAGCTTAGCAATGTGGACCAAAGTTCACATGACATATTGCAGAGTATGTTTAGTTGCAAATGCTATGTACAGGCTCTTTGAAATGTAGCATGTATGGCACCATGTGACACATGGTTGCCATGGCAATACACTTTTTGGCTGAACTACAGCAGAAGCCCATGGAACATACATTGCTAATATGAGACTCTGCCCTGTGCTAATGCATAGGACACAGCCAATCTGGGATCTGGGACTCAAGGGGTTTTGCATGCAGGCTGGGTGGCAGGTGCCCTCTTCCTGCATGTTCAGGGAAGATGTGGCATCCTCCCTTCCAGTCCTGTCTCCTAGGCACAGGGCATGCTGTGCATTCTGCCATGCATGGAGACAGCATTTGCTTGAATATCGGTTTGCTATATTTTGTATCAAAGGGGGCCCCAGCTGAAAACATTTTATTTTGTAAACTGAAGTGAAAAATCAGTTTATGGCAGATCCTTTTTTGAATAATGACATTCTTTTTCCCAATTCCAGAATTCAACAGTCATGAGCAGAGCTGAAAATTTTAAACAAGTTGAGTACCTCCTTATTCATGGAACAGCAGATGGTGAGTTTCAGTTAATTAGACTTTTTAGTATCACAGACAGGTTTGCAATTTCACTACTGACAAAACAAAAGCATGAGGGGCAAGACTGTTACATTTACTTCAATAAAACAGTGTTGCTTTCCACAAGTCACTTGTCTTGGGCTAAATGGGATGCTGAGTCCTAGAACTTCAAACGGTCCCTTTCTTCTTGTGCCTTTCCCACTCCTTGGTACCAGAAAACTGGAGCGGCTATTAGCTACTTTATGTTTCCTTTCTCTCCCTGCAGATAACGTTCACTTTCAGCAGTCAGCTCAGATCTCCAAAGCCCTGGTCGATGCTGGAGTGGATTTCCAGGCAATGGTATAGAAAAACTTTGTGCAAGGGGAGGGAAGTTGCTGGTGGGGTATAGTTTCCTCTTTCTGGGCCAATTCTCTTAGCAGTGCCAGAGACAGGACAGAATAAAAACATTAAAACAATTTTTTTTTTTTCAACGTGAAGTCAGAAGAGTGGTATCCTTGAGCCATGCACAGAGTGATGTTCAATAATATTAGTGAGTTTGTGGTTAAGAAGCACAATATTGCATATCCTGGGAGTATCAAGACACTGCTCTCCTGTTCATGTGATTGTTCAGTCTCTCCCTATTTTGATTCAGAAGTAATCACTTATTCAGTAAATGTGTGGCAGAGTAATTCTAAAGTGAAACCAGCATGATAATAGCTCAGCTCAAATATGAAAATCCATTTCTGTCTGGTACGTATTACTAGCCATTTGAACAACAGTGGGATCTTAATAATCAGCATGCTTCAGTTTTTGCAATTGCAAGGTGATCTTTTGTTAAATAACCACAGTTTATTTATTAAACAATTAGGATTGTTTTATAAAGTCAGAAATGGCTAGAGCTGTTGTTGTCTATGCAGAGGATATTTCTGGTTATTATGTCAAATTCATTTTCTGCATTAGAGATTTTCAGATGAAGGAAAAAATACGTATTTTTATGTATGTATGTATGTATGTATATGTATTTATGTGTCCTCTAACGCACGTGATCTGCTATGTGCTCAGTTCAAATGGTGCCCAATGCATAGGAGTGGGACAGTTACTTGATACTGAGAAAAACTGGCTATCTTTTGGGTCAGTGCTTTATTACAGTTTGAAGTTTATTTTTCTACTATTAAAAGGAAAAACACATGCTACTTAAATTAAGCTTTTTTTTTTTAAGTTAACTTATGTCTCCGTAATTTATGTTTGCCCAGTAATGACTTCCCAATTATTTAATAAGGTATGAATTGATAAATTTTTGCCCCAGATCATAAATTCCTTTTACATAAATGTCAAATATACAGATTTTTAAAATACCAGTTTAAAATCTAAGTGTTTGCAAATAATACATCTGACTTTTGACTTCACTTCTATTAAACACACATATGTAATATTGAAATAGATTTTTTTCTAGTTTATTGGTGCTATATATTAGGCAACATTGCTTTTAAAAATAATTTATTTTAATACAGTTTATCTTACTAGAGTATACAGAAATTTAACACTTGATAACACTCTAATTAAAACAAGTGGGCTTAATGGGATAAGCATTCCTTCCTATGCATGGTGTATTTCTAAGTGACCTTTGAGTCAAATTTGGAAATGGATTGGGTGTTTTAATTAAAATTTACATATCTTTAAAGCACTATTCAATAAAGCCAAATTCACAGTGAGTTCTCTCAGCACCTGCAAAAGAGGATCAGAGACTTTGCAGGACAGAACAACATGCCCTGGAAAAGCTCTGGGGGAAAATTAGACACCCTCCTTGACCCTGTTTCAGTTCATAAACTGCTTCAGGAATTAAAACACTAACACTCTGTTTTATACCATGTATGCTCGTGAGAACTCATTTGAATTTACTTTTTTTTTTTTTTTTTTAAAGAAGACAACTAACTTCCTAATTCTAACTTTTTTTCTTTCTCTCTCTAGTGGTATACTGATGAAGACCATGGAATCGCTAGCAGCACAGCACACCAACACATATACACCCACATGAGCCACTTCATAAAACAATGTTTCTCTTTACCTTAGCACCTCAAAACACCATGCCATTTAAAGCTTATTAAAAGTCATTTTTGTTTTCATTATCTCAAAACTGCACTGTCAAGATGATGATCTTAAAAATATACACTCAAATCAAGAAACTTAAGGTTACCTTTGTTCCCAAATTTCATACCTATCATCTTAAGTAGGGACTTCTGTCTTCACAACAGATTATTACCTTACAGAAGTTTGAATTATCCGGTCGAGTTTTATTGTTTAAAATCATTTCCGCATCAGCTGCTGAAACAACAAATAGGAATTGTTTTTATGGAAGCTTTGCATAGATTCCCTGAGCAGGATTTTAATCTTTTTCTAACTGGACTGGTTCAAATGTTGTTCTCTTCTTTAAAAGGATGGCAAGATGTGGGCAGTGATGTCACTAGGGCAGGGACAGGATAAGAGGGATTAGGGAGAGAAGATAGCAGGGCATGGCTGGGAACCCAAGTCCAAGCATACCAACACGAGCAGGCTACTGTCAGCTCCCCTCGGAGAAGATCTGTTCACAGCCAGACTGGCACAGTTTTCTGAGAAAGACTATTCAAACAGTCTCAGGAAATCAAATATGCAAAGCACTGACTTCTAAGTAAAACCACAGCAGTTGAAAAGACTCCAAAGAAATGTAAGGGAAACTGCCAGCAATGCAGGCCCCCAGGTGCCAGTTATGGCTATAGGTGCTACAAAAACACAGCAAGGGTGATGGGAAAGCATTGTAAATGTGCTTTAAAAAAAAACATACTGATGTTCCTAGTGAAAGAGGCAGCTTGAAACTGAGATGTGAACACATCAGCTTGCCCTGTTAAAAGATGAAAATATTTGTATTGCAAATCTTAACTTGAAGGAGTCCTTGCCTCAATTTTTCTTATTTCATTTCTTTGAGTGTCTTCATTAAAAGAATACTTTAACTTCCTTGGACTCATTTTAAAAAATGGAACATAAAATAGAATGTTATGTATTATTATTCCCATTCTACATACTATGGAATTTCTCCTGGTCATTTAATAAATGTGCCTTCATTTTTTCAGAAGTAATGACTTGTGTCTTGAATCAGACCTAAACCCCACTGGCATATGGACACGTTTATCTAGAAAGACTCTTGTTTATTTTGTTAGTAATCCCTTGTAAACATGGAAATAGTCCAGCTTTGGTAAAAAATTAGATATATAAAAACGTGTTAAGCTAAATAGTTCATAGGTTTTTGCCTAATAATATGCAATTCTCTTATCATAAATACATATAGCTTTTGAGAAATCAAATATTTTATTTATTTATATCATACACAATTTATAATTTTATTGCAGGGAACTATGATGAGGCTCATATAAGAACAAATACGATCAGAAATATCATTCTGGCAGTTCTTATGGCTCAGGAGAAGTAGTCAAGTCAATTACTTAAGTGGTTGACTAATTATTTGTGGTTGACATTAGTATAAAAATAAAAGCATAATTTTTTTTTTTTTTTTTGAGACGGACTCTTGCTCTATTGCTCAGGCTGAAGTGTAGTGGCATGATCTCAGCTCACTGCAACCTCCACCTCCTGGGTTCAAATGATTCTTCTGTCTCAGCCTCCCAAGTAGCTGGGATTACAGGTGCATGCCACCACACCTGGCTAATTTTTGTATTTTTAGTAGAGACGGGTTTTTACCATGTTGACTAGGCTGCTATGTTGACTTTTGACCTCAGGTGATCCGCCCGCCTTGGCCTTTCAAAGTGCTGGGATTACAGGCGTGAGCCACCATATCCGACTGAAAGCATAAACTTTAAATGCTGAATTTGGCCTAGCAAAGCAATGTCTAGATAACAGAAAACGTCATTTTTTTTCCAATTATTTGCAAAACAGCCTCATTTTAAAAAATTTGACTTTGTGAGTTTAAACTTAGCTTCAGACCATTTGCTAGACAAAGTTTTCCCAGACAGGGTGAGCTACAGCATAAAAACCTAAAAATGGAAGAAATGGAAAAAAGAAATCTATCAATTCAACATAAGACTGATGAGTCATGCATAGGCATGGACAGTGGATTGTGAAATCCATCTTCAACTACAGCTTCAGAGTGTGCCATTGAGTAGCTTCACCTTAATTAAATCTCAACTCCCACTCCTCCACTGGAACCACAAACTGACCTTCCAGTCTGTAGGGCTCTTGTCAAAATTCTGCTCCTTAATACAGTTCAATCATTGTGAGTAGCTGGACCAATATTTGCAGAATTGTATATCAAGAAGCAGTAGTAATATATGTTCACATCCTGGACAGCATTAATGTTGACTAGGCTGCTATGTTGACTTTTGACCTCAGGTGATCCGCCCGCCTTGGCCTTTCAAAGTGCTGGGATTACAGGCGTGAGCCACCATATCCGACTGAAAGCATAAACTTTAAATGCTGAATTTGGCCTAGCAAAGCATATTAGCAAATTAAATAGATATTCTTCTTTTATCTTAATTGAAGCCAGACATTGTACATTGTCAGATATTGTACAACATCAGATATTATACAAGCCAGATATTATAATCATAATATCTAAGTCAGATACTATTTAACATTTGTACAATATCAAAATAATATAGATTAATATTCCTTTAGTTTCTAAGCATGAGTATTTTCTCTGGAGCGAGGTAATCCCAGCACATATTTTTCAGGCATTGAAGGCTGCAAAAGGTAATGATGTGAGTAAAGTCAAAGCAGTTTTCATTTGACCCTCATAGGACAAGTTTTCTTTTCCAATGAAAGTTTTAAATTAGCTTATGGAAAAAGAAGAAAATGGACAAATAAATTAGAGATAATCTGAGAATAAGTTTAAAACATACAGGAACCAGTCATATCACTAAGATGTGCAGACTTGTCTTGATATTCATAGCTGCAGCCTCTGCAGACACAGGAATGGCTAAGACTCCTTTCATAAACAACCTGTGAGAGTACACCAGGGCCCAGAGGCACATACCCGAAAAGAAGGGAGAAATGGCTTACATCTCTTCTATGGGTACAGGGTTTGTTTTTTAAGTTTCTATCAAGATTTTTAGAAAATCACTAGGAATTATTTTAACATGTTTTGTTGGAAATTTTGCTAAATATGATTACATACCTTCATACTTTCTTAAATATCAGGCACAGAATATAATTCAATGCATCCTTGATAACTCAGAGCCACTACCATATAAGTTAATGAACGTATTGGGCTTTGTGTCATTCTGCATACTTTGTTTCTTTTCTTTTTTCTTTTTCTTTTCTTTTTTTTTTTTTTTGAGGCGGAGTCTCGCTCTGTCGCCCAGGCTGGAGTGCAGTGGCGCGATCTCGGCTCACTGCAAGCTCCGCCTCCCGGGTTCAGCAGAATGACACAAAGCCCAATACGTTCATTAACTTATATGGTAGTGGCTCTGAGTTATCAAGGATGCATTGAATTATATTCTGTGCCTGATATTTAAGAAAGTATGAAGGTATGTAATCATATTTAGCAAAATTTCCAACAAAACATGTTAAAATAATTCCTAGTGATTTTCTAAAAATCTTGATAGAAACTTAAAAAACAGGCCGGGCGCGGTGGCTCAAGCCTGTAATCCCAGCACTTTGGGAGGCCGAGACGGGCGGATCACGAGGTCAGGAGATCGAGACCATCCTGGCTAACACAATGAAACCCCGTCTCCACTAAAAATACAAAAAAATTAGCCGGGCGTGGTGGCGGCGCCTGTAGTCCCAGCTACTCGGGAGGCTGAGGCAGGAGAATGGCGGGAACCCGGGAGGCGGAGCTTGCAGTGAGCCGAGATCGCGCCACTGCACTCCAGCCTGGGCGACAGAGCGAGACTCCGCCTCAAAAAAAAAAAAAAAAAAAAGAATTTGTTTCTTTTCTTATTCGCAGGTAGTCACTGAGGCTACCGGTTCCACTTCTTGGCATTTGTTACTTTTGCTCAAAGTTGATGTGAGAATACTGATTTGTAAGACTACTAGATTTGCACAATATTTACGATTCAATAAACTCTAAATAAAAAACATACCAAAACGCAAGCATAGCTTTTTTTCCATAAGGTAAGAGGATTTTGTTGGTGCACTCTGTGGCAGTTATTTCAGTGGTGTCCAGGAACCCTCTAGTGTACATCCTGAGTGACCTAGAGTGTGTATTCAGGATGTCTGAGGGATACAGATGATTGAGAATGACAGACAAGTGGGGGTTATAAAGTATAACATCACAGCTGGGTGCAGTGGTGGCTCACGCCTGTACTCACAGCACTTTGGGAGGCCGAGGTGGGTGGATTGCCTGATATCAGGAGTTCGAGACCAACTTGGGCAATATGGTGAAACCCTGTCTCTACTGAAATACAAAAAAGCAGTTGGGCATGGCAGTGTGCTCCTGTAATCCCAGCTACTCGGGAGTCTGAGACAGGAGAATCACTTGAACCCAGGAGGCAGAAGTTGCAGTTAGCCGAGATCACACCATTGTACTCCAGCCTGGGAGATAGAGAGAGACTCCATCTCAAAATAAATAAATAAATAAATAAATAAATAAATAAAGTATAACATCACTATCTCATGAGGAAAGCTCACAGCATGGTATGAATGAACCAATGTTATGCTCTGTAGAAATGTATCATCTTTCTGCACGGTCTTCTTTCTGTTACAATATTAACATTTACACCCAAGAATTTGAATTAATAGATAACTTCCTTACTTGAGAGAATAACATTTTTTTTTTGGTTGCTTGCAGGCTTTAAGCCTCAACAAACTCGATAAATTCTTATTCTATATAGCCTTTGATCTGAACCAACTCTTTCAATTATTTAAAAAGCATGTGTGATTATGGAGTGAAGTGTGACCATCCAACAATCAAAACCCTTATTTATTGTTTAAGCTTCTTCTATCCAAAGTCCTGATATTTGTGACTCACGAGCAAAAAAGGTGTTGCATTGGGTAAGTTTGGTTTCCAATGTTAATAACAGAAAGATTGGTGGCAAAGAAAATGTAACACATTAAGCAGAAATATTAATCATCATAACCTGATTCTGGTTCCATGAGCCAGAATGAATAACCTGATAAGGAGGAAAGCGGTCACATCTCACCTCCTGCTGGAGACACAGTGCACTGCAGCTGAGGTCAGATGGACCTGGGTTAGAGTCTCAGTACCACTACTCACTAGTGGGAAACATTTAAAGAACAATACTTAGCCTCTTTGAACTCCAGTGTCTTCATTTGTAAAAAGTACAAAAAGACCTACCTTACAGAACTGTAGCATTGCTATGAAGATTTACATAGATACAATGCCTGACACCTTCCTTTCACCTTTTCCCTCCTCCTAGTAATAACCATTTAGCTGCTGCTTCTTGATGGCTCCATAGATTACACAGATTCTCGCCTTGGTCTTCTGTGTCCTCGGGTGCTGGGCACTTGAAGGTACTCATTAAGCATTTGCTGTGTTCCAATATTGACATGTCAGTGACAATTCCTTTTGGATTTGTAATCACTCTTAATAAACTGAGCAGCAGAATCTCCTGGTATATTTCACTTATTACATCAAGAGCCTTTGCTGGCTGGGTAAACAGCAGAGCACAGATCTGGGCTCTGGAGAGTTACAAAAGAGGGACAAAACACCAAACACCATCTCTACCTTCAAGGGGCTTATAAATAAATGGAAAAAAGAAGTCACATGAAAAAAAATATGTAACTCTACACACACCAGAAGGCAAGAGGATCCAGACAGAAAGCTGAGTCCAGGGTGAGAATGTAGGGTAGGATTCAAGGGTGAGCATAGAGAAGGTGGTTTCTGGATTATTATGAAGCAGTCATTGTCTGAACTGTGTACCATGCTTAGGTTTAACAGTCTCAGGCTTGCTGTGGACACTGTGCTTTTCAGAACACTTTGTTTTTTTTCAACTACAACTATATACACAAATATGTGTAATATATATATATAGTCTCCATATATAAGGGAATGCACTACATAAAAGTAATTACAATAAAGCTATTGTGTCTGGAGTTACTTGTTAGGTGCCTAAGGAGTATACTTGAGCCTGTTTCATTTCTACCCTAATACAAATTTATACAT